TCGTCGTATTAACAATATAGGATAGTGCAGACTTAAAACGACACTCTATAAAGAATACCGATGGGAGATCGACTTTCTTTTGACTTCCATACCTACTGTTAAAAAATACAATAACACATAAAATTGTAAGTTTTATCATATTTTAAGCTCAAACTTTAACTAGCATAAATAAATACTCTTTCACATAAAGGAGTTTTAGCATTGGATACAAAGCCATTTAGGGCGCTGTAGTTGTTTAGCGGGACTCAATGGCGCAGCCACGATTGTTGGAGAGGAGTATGCAGTGGTTGGCGCGCTCTTGAGATACGTTTGTTAAGCAACTTTCGCAATATAGGATGGGTGACCAAAAATTTATTATTTCGAACTCCTCTGTGCTTCAGAAGGCACGTTTATACCCACCAATCCGCACTGGGCCCGCGTGATAGGACGGATGAGCCATTCTCCCTATTCTATCTTATTCGATTCCATCTATAAGGAAAGTCTGAGCCCCAACAGTGGGGAATTAATAGTCTGGTGACTGGTGATGGTTTACTACTATGATATATCTTGTGTTGGAAAAGAGTTGGACTCATTGCTATCAAATCCATAATTTCTCATGAGTTATTTTCGTTGGTCGTTAATAAAACCTATGACTAGAGTGCTTAGAGTTAGGCGATCGCACCCCTGGTTGAAGCAGTCCACGATCTATTTTGAATAAAAGCATGTTATGTAATTTAATTATAAGCTTATGTACTTTTATGGATTCATAGTTTTAAAGACTAATAAATAAATAATGTCGAATTATTCATTTATTAAGTCTTCTTAGAGTGTAATACGATATATTTTTAATATAATCCGAAAAACTCTCATGATACTCATTCTGTCTATATTCATAGTATATTTTAGTAAGTTTCCATTTCTTAATAGAAACAAAACATAATTGTTTCAATGTCAAAAAAAATAAACTCTGAATCATAATTAACGACAAAGTATAGGCACATAACACAAATTCAACGTACACATTAATACATTATATTTTTTGCAGAATCAATTTGTAAACTGTCTGTAACTAATATTTATATATTCATACTGTCATTGTCTAATTCTTACCTAAGAGATGTTTAGGTTTTTATAATGTGTTCTTGATGCATTATGACCAAATTTCATAAGTCTGACAAGGTTGGCACTTTTAAGAAAAAATCCAGATAATTTTTTTGCTTTTCACTACAAATATTTGTAATTTCCTTTAATTTATAATTCTCAAATGAATATATTTGACTTTTTATCGACAATTTTTTTTATCGTTTACTAGAAAGTGACGATTTCATTCGTCGTGATTATCAATAGATGGCGTTATATTTTGAAGATTTATGATTGGAAAAATATTATAGAGATATGTTTTGAATTTCTACTCCAATAGTATTAATATACAGACATTGTATGTCAAAATTGTATTATTATTTAAGATCTACTTTTTAAATTATAAGACTCTAAGAAAAATCTAATAATAGGTTTATATGTATTATTACGTTTTCAACGTAAAACATATAATTAAAAAGGAGGTTTAGTGATAGAAAAAAATAAATAATAAAATAAAAATAAAATAGAGAAAACACTCAAGACAAGAAAGGAACGTTTCTCTGTACGGTGTTTTAAAAATATTATCAGTATTTACAATATTATATGTTATTTTAACTAGAGATTTACTATTTAGATTATTTCATAGATAAAAGTCTACTGTCTCTTACTTCATCTATGGTATTAGAAACTCATTTAAAGGAAAAAAAAACAAATTTTATATAAAAATCTAGTTACCTACATTTTATTTGTGAATTATATGAACTCAATTTCGTAGAAAAGCAAAATATACAACAAATGTGAAGTATGATCTTTTGTAATGTATGAAGTTATGATCTTTTCTAAATGTATGAAGTTATGATCTTTGTAAATAATACCTACCTACTGTAAATATGTAAACTGATTTCGACAACCATATTAATATTTGATTCTTGAATAGCCTGGGCTGACGCGGTGTAGGTAGATTCGTCTCACAATCGCACGACAAGCTTCCATATTTACCTAGCCGGTCAAGTGGCTTACCGGTTTCCAACGAGTGGGAGTTACTAACTCGATTTCGTATGTTAATTTGACGAGTTATCCTCTTTTATAACTAAGACTGTAATGGTATTCGGACGAGTTTTGGGAATATGTAGACAGGTCGATAAAAAAACTTACAAAATAAAAGTGCAAATATTTTTTGCGAGACTAGAAACAAAAAATATTATAATCCATGTAATATTCGCCATTTAAATATAAAATTTTGAAATTATTCAAGTATAAACTATTTTATATACGAAAAAAAAAAGATTTTTTTTTGTATATTTTAAGTTGTACTAGATAGCGTTAAGCATATTCTACATGGCAATGTTTTAGTCAAAGTTGAGTTTTAAAGTAAAATGTAGTAAGCACTAAGCTTACAAATAAAATCCACAATCGTTTGGTTCAAAGAATGCGTAGTTATCAGTTTCCGATTAAGTTTTGCATGTTTTTTCTTTCATAATTTTCTTTCCATCTGTAATTCAAATTAGATAAATAGATTTAAAGTTTTTAAAGAGCTGAAACCTATTAGATATTAGTCGGTGTACATGTCTCGGACTTCAAACCAAAAGGGCGTATGATTAATTTTCTATAACACCAACTTTTTCTAATCTTATCAATTGATGAAAACTATTTTTTTTAGTAATAATCGGTAAATTATCTACTTCAAAACATAGAATTATAACACTTATTGACTGACTGACAGACATGTATTATTTAGATGTCTCCTGAAAAGTAAGTGTATTGCTTATGCCTCTATGGCTTGAAGCCCACGATTTGTCCTAATTAATGTTTTATTATTTTTCTGCTCTATCTTAATTTATGTGATAGTAGGTATTAAATATTAAAATAATGTTGTGTGAACCTGTATTGGCTATCACGTAAGCCCTGTACAATTATTCCCATATTAAAATTAAATAATTACATATTGCTGTATCTTAAATAAATAAATACAGCTTTTTGTTTGTAGTGTCTTTGAATTTGAGCATCAAGGTAATTTTATTCTAATATCGCGGATATTTTGCTATGAATAAAATTATTAATTGTATGTCGTATCGAGATCCTTGATAGTTAACCAGTTTCATGAGCTTTCTACAGTCGCACTGTAAAAGGACGGTATGATGGTTATTCAGCTGATCGACGTTTAGTCGTGGAAATGAATATCGCTTTTCTATTATAGGGCTAGCCACCTAATTGGACGAGTGTTTTATCCAGTTGGCTACGACATATACTATACATTATAAATTAACCTCAATGTTCTTTCATTGGTTCACACAAAATCTTTTCAATTAAAGTCGAAAAAAACAGCTGTGAGTATAAAGGTCGTAAATTGTGATCAATGTCAATTGTGATTTATATTAAGTCTATTAATTTGGGCCAAATATCTGATGATCTCTTTTTGTATGATTTAATAAATGACAAGGAGAATCGTTTTATTATTCCATACTAATATTATACATACCAAAGTCTGTGTATATGTATGTCATATTCTCACATCTAAAATATCTAAGTCTAGTTGAATTGAGATAGGACAAAGGTTACTTTTTATTGTGATAAAAGTGTTGAAGCTTTATATTCAGGTATTTTACACGATAAATTGAATAAATATTTGTTTACCATTTTTGGAGATGATCCCAAAGTTACTATACCACGTGGACGAAGTATAGTAACTTTGGGCAGCATCTCCAATGGCGGGCAAAAACTAGTATTAAATATAAAATTAGGTACTTAAACATGCTACGTACGGACGAATCATACATCTTTTGTTCTTACGTCGGAGCTAGGATAACACGTAGTTTATTATTCAACCTCATTAGATTATTTAATAATCATTCATTTAGTTAATTAAAGGCCTATTATCAGAAAAGCATTTACTTTTCAAATGAAATTATTTCTCTCAGTATGAAAACAAGTGAAACTCTCTCACAATATGCAAATAAAACGATTTCGTAATGATCCTCACACGAGAAAGTATTATATTACACACATTTTATGTAAGGTAACATGATCGCTTATAGGCAAGATGAAACAAAATAATACAGGCGCAAAGTAAAACATACGGTCTGACCTTGATGAGAGCGAGTGTTCCGGGTTCGATTCTCCACGGGACCGGTCCCCGCGTCTCCTGCTGCATTTAGCTGCATACTACATTCATATTACAGAGCTGTTATAACAATAAACTTATCATTTAAATGTGGTCTTTTAACAAGGTTATTAATTATCTTAAATAGAGTAACTAATATAGAAAGAACGAGATTGCTTTAAAAATTAAATTCCTTTGCATATTTCATATTCTTTAGGAACAATGTTGTTTTTAATATACATTCTAATAGTCGTTATATCAGCTCTGTGCATTATCCGTAAATAGTTCATAATAAAAAAAACTGTGAATATTTTATATTCGCATACAACGTGAATGTCCTTGTAAGTTTATTTAACAGGTTTCTGTAGCAAACGCTTACGATCAACAGGCCACACCTGATCTGTTATTAAGAGCTGATCTCTACCCAGAGTATCTTCTATATTTTGTTTTGTCTTTGTTATAATACTCGTATCCAAGATACAGCCACAGTTTTTGAAACCTTCGTATTAACCGATGCGTTCATTTAATATACATATAACAATATCTCTAAAACACATTGTTATATTTGACCACGAACCCCGTTTTGAGTACTTTTGTTTTTACAAAATCGAACTTGATCTAATTAAGTATCTTTTTAATAGATTAGCTAAACTATTTAAATTAAGGTAAAATGATCAGTATGTATAATTTTAATTGTTACAATTAATTCTTATTTTTATTTAATTTATAAGTATAATTATATTTTTCAATTTATCAAAGTTGATCACTTACTTTATCTACTTTATGTAATTTTTGTAAATAACAAAAGAGAGTCTATAAACAAATAAAGACCAAGTACATACTGCTAAAATATTTTATTGAGTTTCAGCAATGTTTTCAATGAATTAATCAAATAATGAATAAGGCAATCATGTGGTATTTGACGCAACTATTAATGATTAATTTAAATTACAATATCAATATACAAGCGAAAGCATAATTACTTTGAGATTAAACAACTCGGCGATTTCACCTATCACAATTTCTTTGGATTCAAAAATTGATCTACTTATTCTCATCATCAATAACATTTTTGAGTTCAGCATCTTTGGATAACTCTATGCTGGGATCATCATTTGTAGTATTATCATTACCATTATGAGTAACGTCCACTACTGCTACCGTATCATCTTGATTCGATTTAACATCTTCATTTATCTCGACCTCAAGACCACTCTCTTTATTTTCATTATTTAAATCAGGTATCTTCTCGTCTCCGTCTGTTGTTTCGGGTTTCGAAGCATTTAACACTGGAACCTCTATTGTTATTATTTCATTTTCAGTCTCCCTTGGAGATTCCGGTACTTTATTTTCCTCAAGAGGTCTAAATATTTCTTGAAGAGAAGATACCTTTTTCTCAGTAGGTATTATTCTATTCAAATACACTAGAATATCTGACAATGAAACAATTCCTATAAGTTTATCTTCCTTATTTACTAATAATAATCGATGACTCTCAGTTCTAACTATAACTTCTAAGGCCTCATATAACGTAACGCTCGAACGACATTTTTGTAATTTTTCTTCCCAGTCTTTCTTTTTGTTTCTTACATCCCCTATTGTCAATGATAAATTTGAATAGAGTTTTTCACTTACTAAATTTAATACTTCATATTTCGCATATACTTCAATAAGAATACCATTTTCGTTCAAAACCGGCAGGGCCGAAATATCTTTTTCCAGCATAAGCTGAAAAGCTGATTTGATTGTTGTACTATCTGTTACAGATATTATATCGTCATAAGTTCCAATTTTCAACTCAACCAACGTTTTATGGAAGAAAGTTAATTCCGGAAATTCATTTAGATAGACGAATAGAAATCGTAATATTCTTTTATGTGATAATATATATAGTACGTCTCCTGTATATGGATCTATCATCAAAAGCCGATGAATACGATTTCTATGTAACAAGTTGATTGCTTCATGTAGTGACTGATCAGGACCAACATAACATAGTGGTTTTCTTATAGATCGCAATATTTTTCTCCAATTATGTAAAGTATGTCTCTCTAAATCTTCAACTGAAATATTTTCAGCTTCGAGATGGAGGAGAATCCTAATAAAATCAGTTACAGTTATCATGCCAACCAGTAATTTTTTATTTGCATCCCAAAGGGGAGCCGATCTTATGCCATGAGAAATTAAGGTAGGGAAAGTTTTTCTTACCAAAAATTGTGTATCAAATATTATTACTTTTGCAGACTTGGGCAAAATTTCATAACACTTATGATATCTGAAAAAATTTAATAACAACCTGGTTTTGTCTCTTCCACCTAAAGAAATCTGAACTATAGATAAGTATGGATCGTATTTGGGGAGACCTCTAACTTCTCTAAATAACTGTTTTGCTTGTGTAGGATCTAAAGATGCGTATGAGTTCTTGTGGTAGGTTGGTGACGTTGTCTCGATAGAGGACCGACGACCGTAGGCAGATTTATTTTTCTTTTTTACTAGATCTACAGATGTTTGATTATTTTCTGTATGTGGCTTACTTCTAAAAATATCCATTACCCTTGTAATTGGACTATATTTACGAGATGACACACCAGTTACCGTGTGGTAATACTTTTTATGAGAATCTTTCGATTCAGAAACATTTTCCTCATCTTTTGTAGATTCTGGTGCTTCTACAGACTTAGGTGCTTTGGTTTGTTGCTTTTTTGCATCGCTTTTCCTTCTTATACGAAATATATCAAAAATAGAACTACGTGGACTAGATGACGTACCATGAAAAGTTTCATATTCTTTAGTATCTGTAGAATCTCTATCAGCACTGGCAGCTCTTGAAGTATCTGCTCGTTCTTTAAATATAGACCTTACATGAGGTCTCTGAGATTCTACACCACGAGTACCAAAATGTACTGTATGAATATTGCTTGATGGTGCATCATTAGAAGGAACTTCTTTGTCATCGGATGTTGATAGAGTTGTTACAACAAATTTCTTTCTCTGTCCAAGAACAGTTTGACTTTCTTTCTGTGGATCAGCCAAATTTTTCTTCTTTTTTGGTTTATGTTTCTTTCCATATTTTGTGGGCGTTTCTGAAGTGGCGGATTCATTTTCTAAAATTGGATCCATGCCTAAATCAATGAGTGATTTATAACTTTATTATACCTTTATTTCGGCCCATAGTCTGAGGAAAGTATTAATACCTGCAAAAAAAGAGAATAAAAATTATAAATAATTAACTTGAAGTAAGAGTTTTTAATATAAAATTATATGCACTTTGAAGAAAAGGGTAAGATCAAAAACTTAATAATCACATCTTTGTTTTTTTAACTATAATAAGTTTTTTTTTTCTAAAAATATAACCTACTTCAAGCTTTAAGAAACTGATAAATAATACTTATTTCATAACGATTTATTCAATAAAATGCTATCAAAGTAGGGCGGAGGTTTTCTGTAGGTTATTAAGTAAATGATAGGAGCCCGACTTCATATTTCTATATCATTTACAACTTCTATAAAGTTTGAAGTTAGTTATACTTTAGAAAAAAAACTGCTTTTTAGGGAAACCTGAAATTTTTTATATAAAAGGTAACGCTTAAAATATTTACTAGAAAATATTATATGGAAAACAGCTAGTTTGATAAAAATTAGTTTATAATTCAAGAAGAATTAGATGAATATACTACATTACTTATTTTATAATATACTTATATTACTATGTACTTTCATAAAAATATAGCTCAATAAAATTATACAAGAATCGGGTGCAAGACAACTTTACTGACTACGTACTTCTAAATATAGAACTAACTTCACAAATTTTACAAAATCTACATAAATATATAAAAAAGTTAAATCTATGTCCTAGAAGGATATTATTGATAATTCTCGTTGAACATAGAAACTCCTCTTTTCTAATTTTGAATGAATGCTAAATACGCAAACTTTTGTTTTTAACTGATATTAGCATATCATCTTAATATTTAGATGATATGCTATAAATATCTTATGAAAACCGTATTTCGTTTTGTTGTAAAACAAAACTTCTGATTCTATTTCGATTTTTTAAAATTTAAATGGGACCTTGGTGCATTGAGCTATCGACAAAATAGAATTTTGAAAATCGGTCAACAATTATCGAAATAATCGGTGAACATTCATCGCCGTTGATGGTCCGGTCCGGTCCGGATGCCGGTCCCGCCCCACTTCAAAAGAATTTTATTGATATTTTTCACTTTTCATAAAGATTTTTTTTAATCGGTTTTATTTTTCTAGGTCCTTTTTATGAAAGTTATTTATCAGTAATAAATACTTTTAATCTACATATGCTTCGAAAATTCATAATCACCTCCTAAAATAACAGAGACAAAAGTTACTCATTATTCTTACTTAAAAAATAGGTTTGTAAGTTTTAGCCTCCTGAAAATCAGAGTCATGACTTCAAGATTTTGTTGTCTAAAGAACGTTAAAAATTTTCAATTTATAATAAAAACGGTTACAATCTGACTTTTTTACATATAAACACAAGGGCAAAAATACATATAAGCATACATATACACATTTTAGCGGACGTGTGAAGTTTCGAATTTTTTTTAATTTCAACGGCGTGGCCTTATAGTTTTACTAAAAACTGACCTCATATGTGAACGCTCTCTATCCATTTCATTGCTGGGCCAATGAAATTAATATAGAAAGATGATGGGAAATGCACTTCAATAACTATTTTAATTGATTACTTGTACGCCATAACGATGCCTGTAAAAGTGCTACATAAAGCCTTTGGCTACAAAGCAATACACATTGTTACCAATTTTCCCTATAACAATTATGGAATTGCAATAAGAAAGTAAAAGATTGTGAATTTTAAGAGTAACTATTTCAATCACACATTGATTTAAAAAAAAAACTCATCTTTAATTTCTCAAATTAATTATTTGGACATCATTTTTTTGTTCATACAAAACTAGTTGCAAATTAGTGATTTTTGTTGTTAATGTACTACGTATATATGACCAATTGAAATATGCTATACCGTTTATATTTAAATAAATACTATTTTTATAATGTGCGTCAAATAAAAACCTACATTTTGACTATCCGAACTTGTATCAGACCTATTTAGATTCGAAAATCGTATTCTATCGAATATTATAGACAGAAAAGATTAAACTTTTGGCTTTGCCATGAAGACATTGAAAAACTACTGTACCGCTTCAATATCAGCAACAAGCGTAAGCTTATTTCATTAAATTCTTTAAAAATCCACTTCGCCCGAGGTACTCCGAAATGGGAAGGATTTTCATTAAAAATATTTACCAATATAGCGAGTAAATGTAGAATTTCTCATATATAAAAATATAATAAAGTTATTAATATCTATTGTAATCTATTGTAAGTAACATATCACTGTAAAGATCATGGCTGGTTTCGTTCATAAAAAAAAAACAAAATCAACAACTACCGTATTTTTTTCTTTTTAAACTTAAATTATAAAGGTTTTCGTTAGTTTTAAAATGTTTATTTTTCATCAATGAATAATTGTTATTTTATATTACAGAGATGTAAGTTTATTTTCTGCTAATATTTATCATTCTAATTATAAACGTAATATTATTTATAAAAATAACATTAAATTATAAATCAATAATAAAATTGAAACGGATTGAACATATTTTGTGTATATAGTTTACGTCACAGAATAAGAAAAAAGGTGTACGTAAAGCTCGATCCATTACCTACATGATACAATAATATATTGTCACTACTTCCAATACCACAGACAATAATAATTCTTTGATTCCGCACTATACGACGTTGCTAGGTAACGCAATGCAGTAACCTATGCACCAGTTTTATAACATATTGCGTAAAACAATTTTGACTATTTTCAGGTTATTTAACAATAAACCGAAATCTCTGTATACCGATTGGTTGTGTTTGAAATGGAAATAGCTCGTGGAGGTCAATATAAAGTAGGTATCCCTTTCACACCATTCCTACAATCAATACTTTAGTAAAGAAATGGTCCATTCCATATAACATGATTACGTAACTCAAAAAAACATACCTGACATTATTGCAATATGCTTGCTGCATCTCTTCAAATAATTCTAGGCCTTCAACTTTGTATAAAAAATTAACAGAAACAACTTTCTTTGATAAATTTTGGTTATCGCCACTACTACGGAGACGCCATTTCGACTGTCTGTCAGATGGGGGTGAGTTGCGCGCCATCTGCCGCTTAATAAGGGTACCGTGAACGAGTAAATTTCAGTCGTGCAGTTAAAATGCTCCTCACCCCCGTTATTATAAGTCTACGTTTAACATGTGCTTTCGGAAGATGTCATGATTAGACTTCCAATGGTTAATAGACATTTATTAGTTTATGATTTCTTGACAAACTGATAAATATGAAATAAAAACATTCCAAAACAAAACACAACCAATTATTGAGATTAAATATTGACAAAAAGCTACTGCACTTATGTAATGTTAAAATTAAAGCCATTAGAAAATCGTTCTTAAATTGGAATTAAAATTGATAACAACGAATTCCATGTTTTTTATTCCAAACATTTTATTTACTTGTTGTATTCAATCTTAAAAGTGATATTAAAGCTTCCCGGTTTTCTTTTGCGCTGAAATTTTGCATGCAATATAACTTGGATAATAATGCAAATTTATATCAATGGAGCCGATTTGATGATTAGTCTTAGATTTGTTTTGACAAGGACTTTAGTCTAAGATAATATCCAGGCTCTGATGATGGAACTGTTCGATATGGGAACTTTGTTATTATGCTTATAACGCGACCGTGTCTAGTTTTGATTCGATTATTTTGTCTATAGAAGTTACCTGTCCAAAATAAAATGCAAGGAGGATTATAACTATACAATAAACACTCCAGAACTATACCTTATATATAATATAGAAAAAAAAAATTTGTTTTAATAAGCTTTTGAATAAATTACCTAATTTTATAAATTAAACTCGTATTTTCTTTAAATCAAATTTTAATAAAAAGCTTATTCATATTAATAAGGGACGTTTTAAACATAAAGACGAAAATGCTTTATATAAGTATATAACAATTTGAAACAAATATATTAATTGCAAACTTATTTTTGCCATAGAATTGTGATCATCGACTAAATAGATGTTATAAATTTTCTTTTAAAAAGTAGGTAAAAGAGAGTTTTTGTAACAATTTACTATTTTTTTTTTCCAACATTGCAAAATTTTATGATTTGGTGTTAATCCAAAACCTTACAATAAATTAAAAGTAAATTATATTATCCAATTGACTTATTTTAGGTACATTTATTTTTAGTATATATTTATGTTACAGTTTTAACAAAGAAAGAACAAAATTTTTCCAAGTAAAATAAACGAAAAAACAGTTTAAAGTTATTCCTGCATTTTGATGAAAGCAGTCTATATTATTTTTATGACCCTTTTCCAGAAATATATATTTTTTATGAAACTGACGTAAACAAATATCAATTTCAAAGGTACACCTACGACGTGTCGGATGTACCTGCGTAGATTTATGTGCATAAATTAGGAACGTATTCCATCAGACTAAATATAGCCGCAAATGGGCCGCAACAACGCATGCGTTACCATCATCCGTGACGTAATAAAACGTCACGGATCCGTGATGTCACCGTTGTAGACGACTGAAAGTTATGACGTCATTGAGAGCGAGAGGAACGATGAATCAATATAACAACATGTGATATCGTCCGTAGCTATACTATTATGAATATATTTACAGCTGTGTTCACCTCAGTGACGTTAGAAAACTGTTACACGGGAATAGAAAGCCTTTCAAGTCATGGGTCGTCTGATCACGTGCTAACAGAAGTTTCATTTAGATATAATAGGTCATTTGCTTCATTAGTTGAGTGATAGTGACATTCTAGTGTTCAGTAGACCGTTCATACATCCCACCGAACCCTACAATTTTTGCAAACAGATCTAAACTACAGTGGGTGGGATGTATTTGTAGTACACCCCATTGAACCCTACAATTTTTGCAAACAAATCTAACTACAGTGAGTGGGATATATTTGTAGTTCTTTTGTAGCATTGAATAGAACATTGTTGACAGCGTTTCTATTGCACAATCTTGTTAAATTTAGTCATAATCCTATCAAAAGTAGGTATAATTATATTTCTTTGATTACCTACCTACATGTGA